AGTTATTTGCAGTAATCTGTAGCTCTAGAATGAGCTCTATCACTTCTGGGGATTTCTTCCCCTCAGCTCCTGGTATTTTTATATTGATACTTTCCTTCAGTATCAACAGAGAAATTGTATTGATTTATTACCAGTAAGTATTTCTGTGCTCATATTTTCAATTCAAGAACATTGTCTTGAAAATATGTTGCAACACACTGTTTTCCTTCCATACTCAAGGAATCACACATAGCAGATGGAATGGGAGTTTCTCAGCTGTACTGAAGATGACACAAAATGACTACAACGACAAAGACATTTGGATGTTCTGAGACAGTATTGCAATGTGTCAACTTTTATAAACATTCATTCCTCTTATCAGAGAAGTAACTAGTCATTAAGGCCTTAAACCTAAAAAACACTTACGCACTTTACTGTAGCTGATCCTTCCATTATTACTCACACCTGTAAAATTACAGAAAAATTATGCAAGTGTTTGTGAGACTGGACCCTATGATCACATCACTGAGCTAAAACAGACCAAATGGAGATAAATATTATTCTAGAAATTCATGAAGCCATTTCTATCAGAACCTCACTTGTTTTGGTTTAGTATGTACATGTGTATATATTTATGTATAAAAATAAAAACTGGCAATATAGAATGGCTTTCCAAGTTACTTATATATTAATGCAAGAGCTGTGGATGTATTTTTGAACATAGCTTGTAATTATTCTTAAAAGCATGCTTGGAGCTTGTGATAATGTATTTTATAATATTAGACAATACGGCCACATTTTTCGCTTTCATTAGAGAGCATATCCATATGTATTTAAAGTATTTGCATAAATTTTACAGTTAATTGGGCTTTAAATATGCATGATTAGGATGTTACTTCTAGCCAAATTTCATTAGTATGTCACTGGCAAGGAAAAATTTCAGGAGCAAATTTAGTTGTCAGCTGCTACAAATTACCATTTAGTATTTTTAATATTAATCTGAATACATATATTAAGGTAAAACCTAGAATTAAATAAGCAAGCTGGCACATTGTTAGTGTGCTTGAATCAAGACAGAATGAAAAATAAACAACAAAAACAACTAACTGGTTTTATATGTTGAAACAGAGACCATGAAAAGCTTCTGTACTTAGATAAAAGAACAGCCCAAAGTATACTTTATACAGTCCACAGTTCATAAGGCTTCAGATGTATATTAGGCATTTCACTGGTCCTTCTGTTTGTATGGTTTACACATCTGATTTTGTGATGCTTCCTCACCCAGAAGCCAATTATGATGAACATAATTTGTAAGGCAGATTTAATTAAATAGAAGTTTCTGGTCACTAAATAATTTGATGGTGTTCCAGAAAAACCCAAAACCAAAAGCAAAACTGTTGGGTATTCTACATTCAGTGCAACAGCTCTGTGCTACTGCACTGAACAATATCAGTTGATCACTACTAATCTCATTTTGCTGCTGATGGATGAGTGCTGCATACTGAGATAGTACTGACATCACGCGATGAAGGAGGCTGTGTATGAAATGAGATTGCATACAATAGGTTAGCTGATTCAGTGGTATCAATGCACTGCGAAGAAAGTAAAAGTTACATATCTATTTTTATGTCTGTGAACTGCAAATGGGACAATTTGTTCTGCATTAGGAGTACTGTTCTTTAGAAGTAACTCTTCAAACAACCCACTCAAAGCTGGAGCTAATGACAAAGTGGGACTCTGGATTAGAGCAGCAGTTATTTGAAATCAGAGGCAATCGTTCTAGGAGACGAAACATTTGCCAGCAGGCTGAACAAGACAGGTCATTGCAAAACAGTGACCATGAGGAAAGGTCCCTGGTACTATGTGCATGTGATCTACATCTAGCATCGCAGTGCTTAACTGGAACTTTATTAAAAAGATTTTACAGGACATGTATGTGAAAATCAGATAGATAGAGATGAGTGTGGATCCTAGGTCCTGTGGTTTTCTACGGACAGAGCCTCTACAACCTCTAAGGCCCACACAGCTGTTTTCCAGGAAGGAAAAAAGCTAGCATGTATAAAATTACATCCTTCAGTGAACATGGCCATCAGAATGGAATGACAGGAGACAAGATGGGTGATTCGCTAGGAAGAAAAAAATAACACAAAATTGGACAACAACAATGGAAGAAAATTCTGCTGTAAAGGCCTTCAGCATTCAGGGTCTATCCTTGCCTTCTGGCACGAAAAGAACAGTTGCAATGCCCTTCAACTCTCATTTCTCAAGTTCATGATGTAATAACGGTTGAAAATAAACAACATATGAAGAATCACTTTCTGAAGACTTTGTACCCCTGCCTTTGATTCTCTGTAGATCAAGATATTGGCTTGCCTTTGATTTACTTGACTGTGCTTTTTAAGTTCCTTTAAGAACAGATCCAAAGCCTGCAAACTGGGCACATTTGTGTTTCTCTATTCCACAGGGTAAAGGAGCTGTTTATTCTTCTTAAAAGCAAGACTAGGGAGATGGTTACTCCTGCCTTCCGAGATCAGCACCATCACAGTAAAACATTCACTTTCAAGATCTCAATGCAGCTACCGCTTGATAAACTATTCTTCAAGAGACTACGTTCTCTCATGTGTCCCAGCTGGATATTTACAGTTAGTACAGGCTTCTTAGCACTCTGATTTTATAAGATGCCAAGGCAAACTTTTCCCATTTAAGCACTCCTCTGTAAGTAATTTTTTAAAATAATGCTCACTGAAGGATTTTTTCCAGGCTATGCTCTCTACCAAACTTGTCTTTCACCAAAAGAGAGAACTTGTTTCCTTACTCTTTTTTCCAGCAATTGTTGTTGCCCAAACCCTGATTCCTAGTCTGCCTGAAAACTATTCCTTCCAAAACATCTTGATTTGTGGGAAAGTTAGAGCTTCCTTTAGAAAAGCAGGACTAGCTGGCGTAGCAAGCATTTTTCCAACCCTACTTTCTAAGAAAGTAGGGTTGGAAAGGAACAGGAAAAAACAAGAAAAACAAAAATCCACAAAGTAGTATCCTGTTCATCTCTGCAAGATCAAAGATAGGACAGATACTAGTATCTGCATTCTAGAAGTATCAGAAAAAGGAAGCAAATGTCAGTAAAACTTTTCTAAATGACATAAAATGAGTTAAAGATTATGCATAGCAACAGTACAGTTTATATTTATTATTCTTCCTCTTTGAAGAGGATCAACAACACTTCAGTGTATCCAAAGATACTCTACTAAGGTGTTAACAACATTTTGCAGTTGTAAGTATAACATGTATTGTATCACACAATATTAGCATATAAGCTTCCTTTTGGCCAATGAAATAATGTGGAAAGCAAAATAAAAGGAGCACTAAAAACTAAATAATGAATTTGTAATTAGAAACATTTTCTTGAATTGTATTTTTATCACTTTAAATATCTACTGAGAAGTTAGTTTGTCAAAAAGCATGCAAAAGACATCTAAGTATTGCTGTTTGAGATAATTCTCAAATAAATATCACAATCTGCAAATAGATTCATATATGGTTTAAGATGGAGTAAGCTCATGCTTCTGTAAACAAGTTATTGTGTCCTCTGTCCCTTGAACTGGCACCCAGAACACGGTCCAGTTTAAAATATTTTTATTCTTCCTGGATCCAGTTTTCAATTGAATCCATTCAGCAACCCAGTTCACTACATTCACTGGTGCTGGTGACAATTTTTCATGCTCATTTCCCAGCATGAAAGTAATATTCTTAGCACTTATTTGCGTAATGAAATCAATCTGTCAGAAGTATGTATATACAGATCTGAACAAAATATGCATCAGTAACAAAGGCTAATACAAGTGAAACCACGTGGGACAGTGTCTTAGAAAGAACTTAGTAGATATCAGTGCAAAAATACTACTAGTATTGTTTCAGAGTAGACCTGTTGTATCAACACATAAAAAGTTGTTATAAACATCATTTTCCAAACTATTGGGCATGGCCCATGATGAAGACAGGACAATAGCAGTGAATATACCAGGGATTAAGGGTAAAAATGAAAAATATGAATAGCTTTGTTTTGCCAAAGGTAAGTTCAGCTGTCAAAAGCTTGGTATGCAACAGATCTTGGACAGGGTTTTAAAAGTCTACAGGGCAAATTCCATTGTGTCTACTTCTGCTCAAATTTCCCAGCCCTGCCAGTTTTCAATGGAAAAATTCAGGATCATTTATTGGTGTGAAGTGGGTGAAAAAACTAAATTTCAGATCACTTGATACTTGAGAAAAATCTTACATGTCAGCAGAGCAAGAAATAAGACAAATCAGCACAGAAAATGAAATATGACTTAAATGCCGCAGCCCAGGAAACAGAACAAAGCAACAAAATCTCTTCCAGTCATTATTACTGCAGATTGCATTCAAAAGCGGTATCATCATTCACGTGGACTTTAGAGCAGCCAGTACATTTACGGGATCAGCCAAAGACTTGCGTAAGAATACACAGACAAGCTGGTTATCCTGAATGTTTCTAGTCGTCTTCATATTGCTGAAAAGAAGTACTATTCAGAGACATGAAGAGGTGACAGAATTCTCAGGCTAGTGCACTGCATCACCAATGATAAGGTAAACAGTTTTATTTGTAATACTTAAGCAATTACCAAATCATAATACTGAATAATGATTTTGAGAAAGAATTGAATTTGAAGCCATATGAAGTTGATGTGACACCCACTAAATCCATACAATAATGGGTTTGTTTACTGAAAAAGCACCTATGATCCTTGCTGCACACCACAATAAAATATCACTTTAGGTAGCTTTTGATAAATAGCTGTAGAACAGTTCAATATCAAAGCAAATCAAACCCATATGCAACAATACATCTGTTAAAAGAACTAGGGTAGTCAAATGTAAGATAAATCAAAAGAACAGGTTAGTGAGGAAGTCCATGCAATTGTGAAAACTGAAATAAAACCCCACAACACTCACTTGAGTGGGGCCTGATAAAATTCTTACATTTTCTGGAAAGTGAAAGATATGCTTACCATTATCTTTGCTGCTGTTTTCTTCAATTGTCATTTGTTCTGCTAGCTCAGACAGCGATTCATCAATGGTCTGGCTTCCACGCAAGGTTAAGGAAAGTCTCCTCTTAAACTTTTTCATTCTATCAATATTAAGTCTGGCTTAAGGAAGCCTGAAAAAAAAAAGATTAAAAAGCAAAAAGTGAGAAAAAATTAGTTCATCAGAAAATGAAATTTAATTACCTCATACAAAAATGCAGGAAGGCTTACAGAAAATTTAGTCAATATTCAAGTTATCCTTAAACCGATATCCTTAAAGCAAGATTACTTTACTGGACTGAAGAAGAATGTCTTGAGCGGGAGGTGCCCATACATTTTTGAAATTTTTACTTCTGTTAGGGAAAATGAGGATCTTTGTTTTTAAAACAAAACAAAACAGCTAATTTGATCACTAATTTTAAAATCCAATAATAAACCAAGCAGTCATCTGAAAACTTATTGAGTGCACACTCTCCTGCCTCCTCCACAGCTTCTTTCACAAAACCCACTGAGGAGGAGGAGGCTGGACCCTTCTCTCTCTTTCAGCCCATTTGTTTATGGATGAGAAATTACTGAACTTCTCTATATTTTGCCCTTTTCACAAAAGGAGGAAGGGGACAACACTAAATGCCTTAAAAGCAATTCTCAAACCCGATCCTACCTAGGGAAATAGATAGCCAGGGCCTGATAATGACAGCTAGAATGGACGTTTCTCTACAGTCAGGGAATAAGACTAAACTGGGAACAAAGCAGGAGGCACTTTCTCCATGGAAAGCTGTAAGCAAACAAGCAATAATAACAAAGGTCCAGGCCGATAAACATGTTGCCTCAAGTCTAAGCTGGTAAGTGAACTTTGCAGTGCGCCGTATGTTTGCCCTTACACGAGAAGCAGCACAATTCTGTCCTTTGTTACTCCGTATGGACAGTTCACCCTAGAGGTTATTTCACAATAAGTCGTTCATCTGCTCATAGCCCCCAAGAGTCACACAGGCAGTGTTAAACACAAGCACAGCATACTTTTAAGTCTGAGCTGCTCATATATTATTTTCCTGCATCAGCCTCTTCACAGTCCAAAATGCATAATTCACATACAAAATTCAAAACAAAACAAATCAAGTTTTCCCCTATGTCCTCCTTTAAACAGAAAAATGCAAGAAGTAGTATGCTAAAGATCTACACTTAATAACAAATTGTGAATATGATTACTTTCATATTGACATCGTCCCTTTAAGTATACACATTTCAACTGTGTAGCTTACTCATTGTTTACATGCTACATAATAAAAGGAGAACAAATCAGTGGAACAAGTTGGAAGTGTCTAAACCATCACAAGATTAGATTGCCCAGGACAATAAGTAACTCATAAGGATGGACAAAAGCAGACCTTTAGGATTTGAGCCCCAAAATCTGAGAACAACAGTACAATCACTGGCAAAGCAGCAGCTGCATCCAAGGGGAAAGAGGTGGATTACAAAACAGGATAACATCTTAGACAACCACAGCTACTGTAAGCAGAAATAGGCAGGCACCGGGTACAGATATGTAGGAAATAAAAATATAACTGCTGGAGATAAAGTTAAGCCAGCAGTTTCTAAACTGCCCTTTCAATGTGTTGCTCTGTGTGCAATACAGCCACACCTTAATATGAATAATTTTGCTCTCCCTCACTCAAAAGCAGGATATTCTTATTGTTAAGAAACTGCATTCAGAGAACGTTCCAAGGGCAACATTTACTTTTCCTGTTCAGGACCTGCTTTAAAGACCTTACTTGAAACAGCTTTATTTCTGCGTTTATTTTAACTTTTCCAAAACGATGGCCTATGTTTCTCTTAAAAACCTAGTTTTTAAAAAAAAATGGAAGGACACATCCTTTATATGTAGTTTTACTCAATTCTCCTACAGTGTTCTTTGAAACCTGCATCTTCCTACGTGTATTATTCTCAAAAAGGATACGTGCAATTTTTAGCTATGTAATGCCCTAAAGCTACCTGACAACAACAACAATTTCTTTCCAATTTTCCATTTGGGCAGTAACTGAAAAATCTTTGATCTTGCAAATATTTAAGCCTACACAATTTTTTAATCAAAAAGAAGGTCTACTGCTGAAGTGTATTACATATAAATTAACAGACAAATGGATTAGAAAATCTGAAAGACATTCTAAATCTCAAGCTAATATAAAAGCAAACATTTTGTTACCTGTAGTTACAAAATTTCTCCTGTCAAAGGAGGGTTTCATGAAGTGCTGAAGCACCACTTTTACTAAGATTCTGAATTAAGTTCAGGGCTTGATTTTGAAAAAATTTAACAATAAAGGAATCAGGAATGGGAATCCATGTGCGAATGAATGCTTCTTTCTATTGAAATGTAATTCAGTTTTTTTTAAAGGACAAGATATGAATATGCTCACTGATATGAAACCAAATTTTCTTCCCTTAAAACATCAGTATTCTTGCCAATTCAGATGTGTAAAGGATACATATATTAAAAAAAAAAAAAAAAAGGAGAAGGAATGACCAGTATCTAGCACTTAGAAATGTCCTATCTTTTTGACTTTTTTATTCTCACTTCTGGTCAAAGTTGCGGAACCTGCTAAATCTTGGTAGTTTGAGACAAGCTCTCAGTGAAGAGAGCTTTGAAAATATGATCTATACAATCCAAAGCTAGCATTGGTTCTCTAAAATGACAGCAAATTCACAGAAAAGTCAATTTTAATTCAGTTTATCAAAACCGAAGGAAAAGTGTCTGATATTCATTTTTACCAATTCGTAACAGATGCATACCTCTTTTCTCCATTTAACAGTAAATCTAATTTAAATCCAAAATGGAGTTACTTGGTTAGTAATATACATCTAGTTGCTATAATTATACGCAGTAAGACTCCTGATACTCCCCCAAGTTCTTAACAATTTTGACAATACACTGTTATTTTTATTTTTGAGTTTTAGAACAGAACCCAGGGCTTGACTATTCTATTCTGTAAATTTATCTACTCTAAATAAGTCGTACCCAAATCAATATTTTAGATGTCATATCAGATAGATGCATACACTTGAATGCAACTAATGCAAATTTTAGTCTTCTGCAGACAGAATGAGGACAAGCAATCCGACACAACCCAGAAAAGCTGGCAGAGATATACTTATTCAATCCTTATACTGATACGAAATGAAGGAAGCGACCATGTATTAAATGAACTGTTGCTTCTTACAAATGATCTCCAGTTTATTCCTGAAAAGTTGGTATTTTCGTCTTTAAAAACAACACAAGTTAATCCTTGAAAACTATGCTAAAATTTACCTTTCATACACATTTTTCTCCTTAAAACCTGCAGAAAAAGTATTTTCCAATATTTATTGTCATTAACTCAGTTTGCTTCAATAGTCTTAAACTCCTGCTTTGCTCTCAATGTCATTTAAAAGCGATCTCTATAATACAGTTCTGAAAACAAGCTCCACTGTTTTTAAAACATCCAGGTAAGATCAGATTTAAACAACTGGGTTCTGGCTCCCTTTCTCTATGTCAGACCAATCCTTCCCACAACACCTGTAGTAGAGCACTTCTCATTTAGTAAACACAGATGTCCACAACACCCTAGCTATACAGCAGACAGACATTAAAGCATTTTGATTCCAAAGTAATAACTCAACTGGATTCTGCACTCATCTATTCACCAAAAATCAGAGGCCTTACAACGCTGATGGCTAAAATTCTCAAAAAACCCCACCACTCCCTTCAAGCTCTCAGACTCTTGGTACCTTAAAAGTGAAAAAAGGAATGCATAAGATCTTTATACACAATAAACATACGCTGTGTGCTAATCCTTGTAAGTTTAAACAAATTCAGCTAAAATTTTCAAAAGCAATTAAGTTATTTAATAGCTTAAATTTTAGCCAGTATATTTCAGGAGGGTCACAAATACCAAAAGCACACTAAGATTTTGCTGATTCAAAGCCCTTTGAAGTCAAAGGGAACCTGTCCTTCAACTTCAATAAGCTTTGGATCAGACTAAGTGCTGACTCTTCTGTTTCCAGAGGTTATATTGCATTAAGATGCATCTACATAGAGATTAAGCATTTTAAAATTACTTTTCCACTTAGATACACACTGAAGTTGCTATTTGACTGTTTTTAAAAGCTACTTTACAAGGCGGTAGGTGTTTTCCAAACATCTAAAGGCAGTTCTTGTTCTGAAAAACTCATTATCTGAAGACAACAGCTAAAGCAGGAGGAAAGGACAGGAACAGAAACCCTACGTAACAGCAGCACATGAACAACAGCGTGGACACAGCGTGGCCCTTAAGGATGGGTTAACAAACTAAAGCCACAGCCATAAGACACGGAAGAAAGCAGGTAACAGCACTCCATACGCACTCCTAGGATAGGAGGAGGTGCAAACACACGTGGGACACTCAACCAGATTTCATAAAATCGCTACAACCAAATGGGTACATTTACACAGCAGTGGGTCAGACTGTTGCAAAAAGGTATAGCGTGGCAGAGTTTTGAAGAGATCTGAAGATTCTGTCAAGAGACTTACATTTTTTTATGATCTAAGATGGAAAGAAAGACTGAAGAATGAAAACAGTCCACACAACTAGAAACAAGAACAAGAATCATGAAATTCTCTCTTATATGGTCCTCCTCAGCAGTACGGTTGTTAATGATTCTCAAAATCCATGGTGTTATTCACTGTATCATTCAAATCTGAACAGATAATCATTTAATCTTCCACTAGCATTTTAATGACACCAGTTACAGATCTGTTAAATATTTTCATCACATAATAAACGACGCATCATTTGTTTGGCTGCATTAATCATTTTAGATGCATCTAACTTATGAATAAGTATTTCTGAAGGTGATAGTCCAAGCTTGTGGCAGAAAGAGAGGTCTGAAAGCTTAGAGTGCTGCAAACAATATTAATGAAAAACAGAAACAGGAAACACCTGTCAAGGATATTGTCCCCTTAATCTAAAAAGAAAACCAGCTTTCCACAGTGCTTATATTTATTAAACTGTTCTCAATCTACCTGAATTTATAAAAAAGAAAAAAAGCTATTGATCACATAAGCATGTTGCACATCAACTACAGAGCAAACTATTAATTACACTAATGAGAAATAAATTGATAATTTAT